GGACTAAAAACCACCCCTTCGTGACTCCTGGAAGGTATATCTTGATTTTGATGACTTCAGAGTTTAGCAAGACATTGCTCAGGATCTGCCGGTCGGAGTCAGAAGACTCTTATGAAGCACGGAGATGTGTTTCTTGTGCTTAAAACCATGTGCATCGTTCGGCCATGGAAAGGCCATGGATGGCCATGTGCATCACTCCCAGCCCGAGATTGAGCCCCCAACTGCATTCTGCTGTTGGGAATGAATTCTTCGATATTCTTCGATTGCCGTGGCAACCACGGGGACACCAGCAAGCCAGGCCAGAGCCAGAAAAGGATCAGACGTATATGCGCTTTCGACTGTTCGGAGACCGTCGAAAGCGAAGGTCATGCTAACACTTGGGTATATCCCATTCCCAGGGCCTATACAGTATAGGTTGCAGATGTTGCAGGCCGTTTCATCTCCCAAATCGTGATAATCGTTTGCCGAGTCTTGCTGGACACTATTTCAGACCTCTTTGGGTACTCAGCCGACCCTACGGCACCTTCCGAACTCGGTTCATCTGGGCGACCTGGCTTCTCCTCCCTGGTTGTTTAAAAAAAAGGACTCTTCCCTGTTCTTCCCAATGTCTCTGCAGTTCTTGTGCGACTATTGTTCATCCCTTGCCGCACCTGGGGCTGATACTCTTGGGCTCATGCCCCCACGACCTTGGGACATGCAGAGATCGGCCCGTGCAGGCGCGACCCGATCTGGAGCCCATGACTGTGCAACGTTGGGAGATGTCGCACATGGCCCGCGGAGAGGTGCAGAAAAGAATAGAAAACCGCTGAAGTCGTATCATGAAAGTTCCATCGTGGTACGGTGGTACCGCTCTTTGGAAAACGCCGCTACGCCCATCTTTTTCAAGCAAAACAGGGTCAAAACCGAGGAAAAAAAAGGTCGGTCTCCCCAACCTCCAATCCATGCAAACTGGGTGGGCGAACTGCTTTCATCCGATTTGGGAACCCCACATCACGTCTTTCTTCGTTGCCATGCGTTTTTTGTGTGTTTAAACACGAGGACCGAGCATTCTTTCTTTTGGAACATTATTCTCCTTGACACACTGAGTATATCTTGGCAGAATTCTTTTCGCTGAAACAGCCTTGAGCTGCTGCTTGAGCTGCTCACCATTCTGGTTGTCTTTCCCAAGCGTCGTAGGTGACCTGCGCGTTTCGGAAAAAGGTGGTGAAGCTGAGTTCATTCATATAGGTCATCAGAATAAATGACAAAGGTTTGAAGAACAAAAGACCGCTGGCAACAAATGCCTTGCAACAACTTATAACTGATGTTCTTTTGCTTAATGAAGAAAGAAAACACTCACTAATTCAACTTCACCAAAAAATGGACCAACTGCAACTTCCAGTCTTTCCCCAGGTTCGTTTTTTCTCACTCTGGTCGAGTGAACGCCCGTCGTGTCCGTGCGAAACACGACTGGGTGTTCCCAGCCACTCGATAGAGCTCCGGCCTCGGTCGAACTCGGGCGCCGACCGTCACGGGTAGCGATGCCGCTAGGAAGGGATTGATTGAAAGGGAAGATCTACAGATATCTACACTAACACTCAGGGCTGACATCGGAATTTGCAAGGAAAGTAAAATCCTTTTCGTATGGGAAACCGTGTCACTATCTCTTTGGGGACCACTATACAGGAAAACAAGGGTTTAAGTCTACACCACCAAAACTACAAGTTTCCTGCAAAATTGTTTCCTTAAAACCAGATTCTATAAAAACGGCAAGTGTTGCTTCTTTTTTTCGGTGGCAGGCCTGCGTCAAGCCAAGACGCAAACCGTGAGTGATAGGAACATGAGGATGGTTTGCAACTCTGGAAATGGTTTGCAAATGGTTAGGCCTTTCGGTATGATCTTTAAAAATAGAGTTTAACTCTACAGGCACTCTTCCTTTATTAGCTTACCGGCTTACCACCGGCTTACCCGGACATGGTCATAACCTACTTTCCTTCCAGGCCTTCGGAACACTCCAAAAGAACAAACATGTTGGATTAGACTCCCCATCACTCGTCACCCTCGTCTGCCCGTCGTCTCGTCTGGTCATGGGCAACACATGTCTGCCCTTCTCCCCAAGAGATCCGCACATCGGAGGAGGTGCATCCACGCCTGGCGTGTCGGAGTCTTTTTCGGGAATGGATGGCCCAGCACGGGGTGATGGATGGCGCTCCACCAGACAGTGTTTCTAAGCTTGTGGCCCAAGACATGTGGCCTGAATCAGCCAAAAAAACTCAAAAAAGAGGTGTCAAAAAAGTCGTGCACACACAAGTCAGAAGTTGAAGGCTCTTGTACGTTTTGATGAATCATTATAGGAATGAATGCGGAAAGCAGTTCATGCAATTTTCATCCACCCTATTAATTAAGACAATATGAAAGCGAGAGTGAATGAACAGGCCTGGCACAGGCACAGGCGCCGGTGCCTCCTCAGTGAAGGCAAATGAGCAGTCTTGTTGTTCGATACAAGTGAGGCGAAAGGACAAGTGGGCCAACAAAGTTGTGGGGCCTTGTTTTAAGCATCTGAATGTGGGTCAAAATGTTTTCTGGCCATGAAAGAGAGCTGCATTTGTACTTACTTCCATGGTTGCTTGGCCCAGGCCAACATATAGTGTACATGCATATATTTATGTATACATATAAATATATAATGTATATACGTTTTCTTCTGGTTTCTATTTATTTATTATGGTTTCTGACTTGGACTGACAATGTTGTCTTTCTGGACCAAAATATCAAAATTGACAGATTTCCAGGAACCACGATGGATTTACGGAAGCAGCTCTCCAGCGTTCCCTATTTCTATTCATTTTCCTCCACAAATCAACAGGAAGTTGAGGACAAAAAATCAATTCTGATGCAAGTAGCCAGCCTTGGGTGTTTGGCTTTAGCCAACATGATGTTACTAAACTGTGAACGAAACGGTGCGACACGTCCCACTGCCCGATGGAGGTGTTCCACCGGGCGTTGGTAAGGACCTGGTGGATGGGATGGTGCTTTTCCCGCCAACCCACCATACCTTCAGCCTGGGACCGGAGGGACCGGAGAACCGGCCTCTGGAAGATCCTCGGTCCCTTCTGTCTCTTCATCCTCCTGAATCGGCTCGCTTCATCGAGACTAGAACGCATCGAGACGAACGAGGAGACGCCCCCGAACGAAGGTGCTGAACATCCCATGATTGCCCACGCATTGAGTGACGCGCTGTGACTGGATGTGACTCTCTATGTCGATGTTGTAGAAATAGAGTCGGTGGTGAAAAATAGATGGCGAGCCCTTGGCCCTTCACCTGAATCGGCTAACCCTCCACGTCTCCACTTCTCTTCCAAAAGGCTGTGTGGGGTGTGTTCAACGGCCTAGATTCCTAGATTCCTCATCGGATGCTCGATGGGGTTCACACCCAATGATGTCAGACCTTGGGAATAACAGAGGGATGGATTGAATTCATATGCTATTGGTTGTTTTGGATTTTGCTTAAGGAACCTGGAAATATATACTGTAGTATAGAAATATTCCCCAGAAGGGGATTGAACTATGGCAAGGATATTGGGAAAATTAAGAATCATCTCAAGCAAAACCAGGTTGTTCTCTTGGGGGCATCCCCTCTTTGAATCAACCAACCTGAGGCTGTAAAAGGCCATCTATGGTTCACAGCACCAGTTTCATAGCCCCTAGACTTCCGTTCGACCATGCAAAAATGGGAACGACCTGGTCTTGTCAAATCCTTCGTCAAACCGTTTGGTGGTGAAGCCAAGGGCCGCCGTATCGTGTCGATCAACCAAAGCCCGCGCCCTGCAGTCCCTAGAGTCGGTGTCCTCACGACTAAACTTCGCCGGCATGGAGGCATAGCGAGCGAGGATGGGCTTCCTGCGAAGCAGCTCCGACCCGCGAGGCGGGGGCCACACCGGGAGGCGGTGATCACCGGGCAACCAAGAGGGGCCACACGTCGGCAACAACCGTCAAATGCGCAATGTGTATCCATGTTTCTTCAAACATAGTTATTAGTCCATATTATATTATACATTGTTGAAAACAGCTCAGGTCTATCGGGAATTACATGGAAACTTCACACTGGTCCAAGTCGAAACTTTGTGGTCCTCAGATGTTCTGTTGAAGAAGGGCACAGCTCGCCCTTCTCATGGCGTTTTTCCGGGCCTGATGGGTGTCTCTAACAGGAAGACACCCCTTCTCGCCCCTTTCTCACCTGGGTCGCCTGGTGTATTTGCCGAACCTTCCATTCAGGGGGGTACCCCGACCCCCGCCTGGGAGGTCTGCCTCCACACTTGGCTTCTTGAGCTCGCAAGGCGAACATTCGTTTGCGTTCGTTCTGGTCCTAGGTCCATCGTCCAGGTCAATGAAGGTGTTCTTCACCACGATGAAGTCCTTTGCATCTGGCAAGACCACCTGCGCTGCAGGATGAATCATCTGATGTCCAACTTGCTGGGTCACCTCCTACTCCTACTTGCCCTCAGTCTGGAATGGTTGAAAGTGCCCTCCACCTGTTGCCATGCCGTAGTATGCTTGGTCCTGTTTGGTTTTCTGTCGCTCTTACTTGCCGAGGTCCATGGGGGGGGTGACTTGTCCTGGAGCTGAGACGACCGAGACGGCTGCAGCTGTGGGGTCGTGGGTCGAAACCCCCGGTGGTCGGACGAAGTTGCGGACCATTGTCCTCTACAACCCAGTGGTCTTGGGGGGTCCAGATGAATTCTGCGTGAGGGTACCCCCCACAAAGCGGGCGTGGCTACAGCCACCCAATGGGTCAATTTGGTGCGGAGCTCGTCGAAAAAGCGCTCCACGTCCGCGAGTCGGAATCGCAACCTCTTTGGCGGGCTCAGTCATGGTTTTTCCCGACTCTGAGCAAAAGCAGCTGCAGCGACTGGTCGCTGGTGCAATTGCAATGGCGCCATGGCAGGTGAGACTATATCAATGCATTGATACCGACAAGGTCCACCCAAACGCGCCACAAGCTCTGCAAAAGAACGCTTTTTTCACCAGCTGGCAAGTCATTGACGTACAGATCTGAATGTCCTTGGCTCGCCGAACTCACAGTGAAGTCCCATGCAGCTGATGTTTGTGAGAATCGCTTCTGCACCAGTCAATTGGTTGGGTACATCTCCACACTTGGTGGGCCCGTTTTGGATGATGGAGCCTGGGCCAGCAGACCTTTCCATCTCTATCATGGAGCCTGGGACGTGCTGACCGACGGCTCTACAGCCTTACTGGGACAGGTCGGCTCGGATGGTGGCTCCCCACGAGCCTACGAGCCTCATACCTGAGGGACGATTGGACGGTTGGACCTAAATTGGACCTGGCAGTTTCACATGTCGATCACGTTGTCCGGGATGATCCGGCCAGTAAAATCTGAATGGGAAAGGACTCCGGCTAGCACCGAGCGGCCGAGATAGGCTTACCAGGCACCAGAACCGAGCCGAGCTGACCGAACCTTTGCTGACCGAACCTTTGCTGAGTGTTCCGAACTGCGCCAAGTGGCCATCACAGAGCTGCAGCATTCCACAAAGCACCGGGGATGGCCTCCGGCAGGTGGGCAAGTGGGGGGAACCACCGATCTCAGTCGGAGCCCCCCGAGCCGGGGCTTCGCCCACTTTTGGGGGGGGGGCTGTCCGCGACCACCGGCCCTCTGAAAAAGAAGGGAAACACCACCAGCACCTTCCAACAGCTGGGTTTTTGGACACCTTAAGCTCTAAGAAGCTACAGTATTTATAGACACCTCGGTCCTGTAAGGTCCTGGTTCTGTTGGACCCTTCATGTCTGTTGGACCCTTCATGTTCCCCATCTTCCCCCTCCTCGCCCCCCCGGGCCCCTCGGTGAGCAGCAGCCACTCCACCGCGCGCATTGCGTTGCGCCTGACGACGGTGGACGTCCGACCGCGGTGGTCCCGCGGTGGTCCCGCGGTGGTCCGGCCGTGTCGGACGTGACGGCGGTGGCTTCCGGGTGGCCCGAGTCCGCGATGGTCCGAACATGTCTGCCGAACTTGGCTGAGTCTTCTTTGGAACGAGGAGGCGGAGTTTTGGTGCACACTAGTTTTGATCCAAGTATTGAATGAATGATCTTTTGGGGTGACTCTTGATTGCACTCAGGAGTTTTTGACCAGGACCCCTCCATTTCGAAGCTGCTGGCGGACTCCGAAAGCAACCCAAAACTGAGTGTCTCCTTGGAGACACCAGATGAGTGTCAGTTTTGCCCGAGGCCCACAAACACCGATTCGAAGAAGTGGCTTCAGAATTAAGTGATACTACAGTACACTGATTGTGGTGGTTTGGTACCTAGATGCACCTAGTGTAGGCCACAAGCTGCAAGGATCTGCAAGCGATTTGGTTGGTTGGTCGTTTCAGCAGGATGATTTTGGAGAATCGAATCGGACGAAGGGTCCATAGTACAGATTCATCCATGCCCATCTGCGTGCCAGGTACATGGAATGGAACGTCTACCAGGACCTTCCAACAAGTAGTTGTGGGCCATGCCTGAAATTCCCTGAACCTCTAAGCTATTCATAGACACCCCGATTCTGTCGGGTGCTGGATCTCGATCCGTCGCTTCGGCGCCTCCAAGCAGTCGGTTCTCCACCCACGCACCCACGCACCAAGCCACAGCTCTTCTGTTCGGCCCATGCATGGATTTGCTCATACCAGGAACTGGGAAAAACAAAGTACCCAGACGCTCAAACCCCTCACAGCTTGGTCCAGGTGCTGGTCCAGGTAGGGAACATGATGGTCTTCCATCCGCCCCAAAAAGGATGCACCAACCCGGCGCCTGGGCCATTGCTTCTTCACCCAGTTGCGCTTTCATCTGCAGCGGTTCCTGATGGCGCCAGGAGACCAGTTCCGGAATCTCTGAAGGATCACTTCCACCTTCTTAGCACCTTCAGGAGCTCTCTAGGAGCCGCTTCTCCTACATGACATCTGGTGAAGAACTTCAATTCCTGCGCACTTCAAATCCTGTCCGCCCCTCTTGGGAGTTGTTCGATCGAAGCGGCCGATGGTTCTTCGATGGTTTTATTTTATCCCCAAATAACGATCCAAACACTTCGCACCACATCGCTCACGTGGCCAGCCCCCAAACCCACAGCACGTCTGCCGCCTTTGTTCGCCAGCGTCAACCCCAAGTTCGTTTTCTGCGGGGGAGAAGTGTCTTTTTCTCTCCAGGATCTTCTCTCCACCAGCTCCTCTCCAAGGTCCGCACCTGGTACCTAAAGAGGTCGGTCTGCAAGCTCTTCTTGGTGTTTTCCTCAGGCAGGTGACGCCCGGAACCCGAGGACGGAACCTGAAGACGGCCGCGCCGGGAAATGTGGATCGACTCGGTGTCCATCGGCGGAACCCGTCTGGTCCATGCCCGGTTCGTAGGTCTCTGGCCACCCGGGTGTATCGTACCATCAGGTCCTGCCTTTCTTCCGACGGAGAACAGCCGGTCACGGAGAACTGCGTGGCTCATCGCGTTTCTCTGGTGACGGTTCTGCGTGGAAGCATCCTGAAAGCATCCTGTAGCACCAGCTCAGCGACCCCAAAGCGAAGAGGATGATGTGACGGTCCGTAGTTTGGGGTCTTGACCCTGTCCAGATTCGGAGGAAAAGCTGCTGGATTAAAAGGTCTCAACCCCTGAACCTTGGATCATAGATTGACCAGAATGAGAATGCACTTCAAGAACTTCATCCGCAGAACGTCTGATTTCCATGGCAGTTGTCATGTGCTTCATCCGGAGAACTCTGATGGATTTCTAAGGACCCTGCGGTCAAAGACCAGACTAAGTACATGGAAACCTGCCAGGGTTCTCATGACAGGGCGTCACAAGGAACCTTGTTTTTGTTCAACTTCTACTCTCTGAAAGGTGACAAAACTTACACTGAAAAATGGCACCCAAGTGATGAAACCATAATATGAAACCCAAGATTTCTGAAGATTCCCTGTCATGAAGAATCACAAAGTTCAACTGCTCTTCTCAAATGAAATGTAACTCTGCCAGCAGTACACAAACCACCACCAGGAAGATGGCCCTGGCTCGCTCGCTGAATCGCTCGTGACCCACGGTGGCAACCACTTTCATCGAAGGCAATTTCAAGTCTCAAGGTGTTCAGTCGAACAACTTCTGTGGGTGGTCATGCTACAGTGCAAAGTTCCCATCTGTGGAAAACCCCTTTTCGACCCTTCCATCCTATGGTTCTGTTGTTTTCTTTACTTCGCTAGGCCCAAGAATCCCCCCCATCAGAACGAGAACAGGAGAGAGCGAGCAAGTCCGGGTGCTTTCCCAACCATCGAAAAGGGCGTTTCACGACGAGAACCTCGGAGCTTCGACTTCCGGTTAAACTTAGCATGTTTCTCTTCTCAGTGTCCGGCAGCAGCACCATGGCGCTACCGCTGGGAAGTCCACACACCATGGTGGCCTGAGACGAAAGGTACGCGGCACGATGCTCACACCTTCCCGTGGGGTGAAGGATCAAAAACTAACTATATAATTACAGCATCAGCAAAAAGACATCGACGGGTATCAAAAAAAGGAAACAAAAAGAATCGCAGTGAGCAACGAAAGGAAAAGGAGACTAGGGAAAGGACAACACCAGCAGAGCGCGCGACCAGAGGACGCTGGAAGGATTGCAACAAATAGTCAAGGAAAATAACACATGAAAAAACTTATATAGGCGAGGGCCGAGGGTGTGCAATACTTGGTGTGGATATGCGATGGGGTGACCTTTAAAAAGTCGGCCGTGGCAGGCCCAATGCATTGGTCAAAGTAGGGCGGAGCTCGTGGCACCGCAGCGGGGTTGCAAGCTACAAAAGCCACCAAACGCTGGAGGCATCACAAAATACATCATCATCAACAACTACACACCCTACTGCCCAATCAATGAGGGGGCCATCCACCACAATCCATCACAGGACAGTGAAGAATACTGGCAGCCACTTGCAACACAAAATCAAAGACTTAGGCGAGCGCGTGCATTCTTTTGTGTGAGCGATGGGTGCCTGAGTGACCTTTAGAAAATCTGTCGTGGTAGACCCAGCTCATGGGCAAAAGTCGTGCAGATTTCCTGGCGCTCGAGGGGGTTTGGGGGAGGGCGCCAAGCCTCCCCCCCAGAGCGAACCAGACATCAAAAGCAATCAGAGTTAAAAGGCATCACAAGATAGATCACCATCGAAAACCACACGCCCCATTGCCTCATCAATGAAGGGCAATCAGAAAGTGACACTAGGACCAAGGCAACCGGGCAGTGCTTTGTTTTCGCACCTCGTGCTTTTGACCAACATTGACCAATGGACTACGAGGCCGGACCAGGAAAGGGACCAGGAGACCAAAGGACTGGCAGCAAAGGATCAGACCAAAGGACTGGAGGCACCAAAGGACCTGTGGACCAATGAACCAGGGGACCTTCCCTTTGAGCAAGCCAAAGAACCAGTCCAGGAGGCCGAAGAACCAGCGGACCAGGAGACCAAGGGCCTCGGGGACCACTAGACTCGAAGACTGGATTTGTGTGATCCTTTACTCTCTTTTTGATCCTGTTATTGTTTCTTTTGATCCTGTACATCTTTTTGGTCCAGATGCCTTCCCGTGTAGCACAGAGTGCGCATACGGGGGCCTTTACGGGAAGGCACAGATTGCTGTTCAGAGGTATTTGTCTGGTAGCACAGATTGCTGTTTGGAGGTCTAAGGGATGATAGGGATGGGAAAGTGGTGTCAATATCATGTTTGGCGTAGTTTTCGGTGGCTGTTGAGGGTGAGAATGGGTTTAGAAGTTGACAGGCAGGGACATTGACACCCCTACTGAACTGGGTCGTGACTGGATCACTTCATGGACTGATTTCTCTGCACCAGCAGTAGTTGGGGAGTTTACATAGGCGCTGGCAACCCTATGAGTACTAAGACCAAGACACCATGCAGCTTCTACATGCAAAACAACTGTGAATTATGAACACCCTGCAACATCGAATCATGATGAATTCTGAATCATGTGTTGAAGACTGGCACCTCAGATACCTCCCAAAACTCGTCAAAAAGAAGAACCACCCAGCAGTCACGTGGCCCACGGGGTGCCGAACGAACGGAGGAAGGTGCCGTCGTGGTGCCGAACGCCCTCGTCACATCCCACGGCGGATGGGACTCAAAACCATCCCGAGCTCTGTGACTCCTGGACTGCATCGAGGAACGCCCCACCTGTCGGCCGTTCGTCCCGCCTTCTCGTCCTTTTCACCGGTCCCCTCTGAGCTCCATGCCATCTCTCCAGGCACGTGTGGTTGCCGCGTGTGGCAGGGCCGCTGATTGGCCGCCTCACGCGAAGAAACCAGTCCATGTTCACTAGGAGGAATAGGCTTTGGTAAAGGTCGCCGAAACATGCGCTATAGGGATCCAAGTACCTTCTCAGAAGGTGATTGGAGACACAAGTTATGTAGGATTGGAGGGTCTGGTCGTACCGAACCTGAGAAGGTACGAAAACGGATCCCTAGGGATACAAAATCACGTTGGATTTAGGGAATGAGTATGAATGAGTCGCCTTATGGATTTGCTGTTAAAGTCCCAGTGATCCCGGAATTTTGCGCAATGTAAAGTCTTGGACTGGCGTGATCATCCTTTGCCTGACCCGCAGATTTCTGGCGTGAAAACTTATCCATGCCCGGCCAAAAGGATATCTGCCAAACCCTTTGGGTCCAAAAAGACTCATGGAACGAGAGCGGCCCAACAGCACCGAACGACTCGCTGTTGAACCGGTCTTCGTCGCCCAACCGTCCACGGTGTTCGACAACAACTAGCCACTCCTGAGCCCCCTGGGAACTGAGCGAGGCACGACGGAGATCAAGAAGCTGGCGCCCGCCACCAGGGAGACAGCCAGGTACATCAAGTACGTCTCGGTGTTTTTCGCGCGCGCGAAACAAGGAGAGTTCACATCTGTCGCGCGGCGGGGTGTCCGCCGAGGCGTGTGGACCGTCGGATCCTCAAAACTCCTTCACATGAAGGATGCGCCGTCGGATGGTGATTCTAACAGAAACACCCCACCAGAAGCTGCCGCAGGAACCATCCACCTGGTTCCGGAAACAGACGACTTGAAGATCCAAATTGAAGATTTTAAGTCATCCGATTGGATGACCCGAGCTGCAGAATCCGGCGGCAGAACCGGTGTCCCTGTCGGTAGAAAAAAAGGCAACCTTTTCATCTGAAAAAAGCAGCCATAAGGAACCCTTAGGGGTGGGTAATGGACACCCCTTAACAGCTAAGGGGCTATAAATAGACACCCCTTGCAGGGTCCTGGTATGTGATGTATGTGTTGGTATGTGTGTTGGTCATGTTTTGCCCTCTTTTGCACGCCCACGCCTCTGCATGGAAAATCTCTGGCGACCCGGCATTCAAGTGGCTCGGAATGCGGTAGATGGCACCAATACCTGGCACATGAGCAGACACAGCGATTATTCAGTGATTGGTTGGTGATTGGTCGACTTTTGTCATAGTTCTTGTGGTGGTGGTTGACTGTTGCTGTTGTTGCTGTTCTTGTCGTTGTTGTTCTGGTTCTGGATCTGCTTCTGCTTGTGGGCAGCAGACTCAGGCGGAGGACGGTCGGTTTGACCGGCCTCCGTGGATCGTCAAGGGCAAGCCCAGGAGGCAGAAGGCCCCAGCTGCGCACTGCAGCCTCGAGAGAGAGATCGCGCGCGCGGAACGAGGTGCACGGTCGTCTCCCTACCGATCAGTGACCGACCTTGAAACACAGGTCAGACAGGTCAGTTGGTCAAGTTCAAACTACTCGAGGTAGACCAGCCCGGCCGTATGAGACCAGCTCCCCCCATCGTCCGTCCGTCTCGGCTTCGGGCATCGTCGAAAGCTCCACCCCCGAGACGGTGATCGACTTCTCGGAGTCCACATTCCCCAGGATCGCGACGCAAAAGATGAAATGTCCCAGGACGATCAGCCTGGCATCGATTTGGCCATCGATTGTTTGGAGCTCCATCGATTGTTTGCTCCAGAAATGGATGCTACAGCTCAATTTTGCGAATCTGGGCCCTTCCCCTCCAATGGAAATGGTTTAAAATCGTTTGGTGGGAGGTGCCAGGATTCTTAAACCAGTTTGGGGCCCACTCCCAACTTCAGTGGCTTTCCTTAAAGATCCTTGAAGGCTTAACCCCCCTTGTCGACAGTAAACTGTGGATAGAATCCAGCTCAACAGGGCCAGCTCGCCCCCTCCCTCAGGCCGGCGGCTGCCGATTCACCCCCTCCCCTGCGCAATGCCGGCAGTACCCGACGATGGCCGTTAAGGAGAACGCCCCGATCACGGCGGGCGCCGGTTGTAAGAGGCTCATCGCCTGCGCATCGCCGGGCTGAGCTGCTGGGCCGAGCCGCGGCGCCGCGAGTGCTGGGCTTGGCATCAAGTCCAGCGACCATCGAGGAAAATAGAGGTCATCAACTTGGAAGAGCCTGCTCAACTTGGAACAGGGTCGAAATAGTATCAGCTTCCCCCGGCAAAACATACTTGAAGGTTCGCCAGTTTGGCGCACCTTTCCAGGAACCTCTTGGGGTCACATCAGATCCTTAAGAGGCCCTTGTTACTGCTTGTTCAATGATGTCATCAGAGCTACCACAGAGAAAACATGGAGAAAAACCCACCTCCATTCATAGAGAAGACCCCATGTATGGCATATTTGCCTACGTGCTGGGCAAAAAAGTCCCGTGTTGAGAGACAGGTCCAACCCTCTTGAAGGTCATCCAGGCAAGTCCAATTGAGGAGCTGTTCCTTTTCAACGTCCAGTCCTTGTCTTCTTTTTCCTTGTTGTTTTGGAGAGGGGCCGCTGTCCCGCCAAGCCCAGAAAACTTGGGGGTTCGGGTTCAGGAACCCCTGTTGGGATCTTTCTAGCTAGCTTCACGCACCCTGTTCGAAGCCGCGAAGTTCCGCTCGGGTGTTTGGTCACATGAAACGACCCTCGGCGCTGGGGTCCTCGTCTCGCCTCACTGCTCGCTATCGGGATCGACACGGTGACGGGGTGTCCACACCGCTGTGATCGAGCCCAAAGCGGCAGAAGCTGAGCACGTTGGAAAGCGCTGGACTATATTGGACTTATATAGCTGAAACGGCTCAAACCACGGGGACGGTACGATGCCATTCTCGGATCCATTCAGGTATAGATTACAATGACCAGCCCAGACTATGAGCACGTCGTTCACTACCTTGAAAGCAAGACCCCACGCACAATCCATCCTTCTCCGCCACACGTGGCCTCTTTGGGCTGAACCTTCGGCCGAAGGAGAGAGGTAACATGCTTCGATCCTCTTCGGATCCTCTTCGAGCCTCACAGGCTCGTGTTTTGGGGTTCTTCGGATCCTCTTGGGCTCCAAGAGCTCGCTCTTCTCGCTCAATCCGGATCTCTCTCTGAACAAAGGCTCCTCAGATCTGGTCCCGGAAGGGATTGGGAATCCGTCGGATCTCCGCCTGGGCCGATTCTGCTGGTTCGCGTGGTCGCAGGGAGACCTGTTGGACTATGGCACCACTGAAATTCCGGCCGCATGGCCCATCAAGTGAGCACCCCAAGCATCCCCCTAAAGCACGGATCTAGGGACATCGCGTCTGATCTGATCCACCCAAGCATTGGATGTTCACAGAAACCACCCGAGCCTTCCCTCTTTGTTGCGGGGTGGAGAGCCCAGATTCTACACCCAACTCCTGTCCAAAAAAGACCGACTGCGCCGCCGAGCCGTCAACTGGATGGCCAGGGTCTTCGGATGGAAGTCCAAGCGCTGAAAGCGCAGCGCCACGCCTGCGAGGTCGATGTAGAGGGTCCTTAGAAGTGGTCCGTCTTCCATTTCGCACGAGGCGCTTCAGCTTCGCGGCCCAGCTGGGTCATCCGGTTGGGCGCTCGGTCCGTTTTGGCTGGAACGGCCCGAACCGTCTGACCGAACGGACGGAACCGGTGGATCTGTTGGCTCGATCCGTTGGCTGCCGTCTATGGCTCCGCATCAGTCGGTCCACACTGCGTGCTCCGCGGAGTCGCTTCAATCGGCGGGTGATCCGTGATCCCCGAAGTCCAGGTCTTCGATGCTACGTTGGAATCGGAAGTCTTCGCGATACATGATAGATCAATACCGGATCTTCCAACTGTGCAACATGTTCTGCCCAGAAATGGCTGGTTGAAAACTGATGAAATGCAGAAATTCTGCAGAGTTGGAAGATCTGTGTATAGATCACGATGATATAGAATGATCTGTCAGGGGTGAGTTTACGCCTTCCCGCTTCTCTGTTCCCTTGCTGTCAAGCACGCCGCCGTAACGCGCGCGGAAGCGAACGAAGCTCGGAGCCCCCGACGCAAAGAAGGCGCTTAGAGCCCGTTCCAGCTCGCCCGTCGTGGCCTGACCCATCGACCCGTGTGGTTCGGGCGCTTGGATCCGGTCGACGAACAAGCACGTGGAAGTACAAGGAAGAATAAGAAGGTGCATTGATCTCTTTCATTCTCTTTCTATGAAGACTCACACCATCTAACACCAGTACCTCCCGAATCAAAGGAATGTTCACCCATCAAAAAATGGTTGCCCCCCCCGATAGACTCCAGAGGTGCTCAGTTCAAATGCTGGGACAATTGGTCAAACACAAGAACCAGTCTTGCCTGTACATGTGCGGAACGTGACCATGTTAATACCCACCTTGCTGGCAGTCTCAGAGTGCAATGACACCTTTGGTCTTGCTCCTGCTCAAGGATCGGCAAACAAACCCTTAGCAAAGGCTCAGTGGAGTTCTGATGTCGAACCGGCTCGGACCCATCATCTTGCAAGGCGTCAGTCCTTTGTCTGAGCATGTCAGTCTTGCTTGGAAGAAATCGCCAGAATGCCTGCCCTCAGACAGCACGCAGACAGAGGTCAACAGATGGAACAGGATCATCCTTATCCCGAAGTCAGCTTTCTCTTGAAAATTTCCATCAAATCGCACCTGATCTTTCACTACCCTTCGACTTAAAGCAAAGATACATATCTACAACCCTCCGTACTGGAAAACCTGCCAAATCCGAGTGAGAGAGAAACTGACGTAGAGTGCCTTTTGGACTCGTGCCTTCCAAAAGCGTCACCAAAAAAAACAAGATGGAACCCACGAACCCGAATGCAAACACGTTCCATATGCCCAAATGACACTCTTGTAGGACACTCTTGTGGGACACTCTTCTGGGACACTCTTGTGGGACACTCTTGTGGGACACTCTTGTAGGAAACTCTTGTGAGTCACTCTTGTAGGACACTCTTGTAGGACACTCTTGTGGGACACTCTTACAGGACACTCTTGTGGGTCACTCTTGTAGGAAGCTCTTGTCGGGCACTGTTTTGGGACACTCTTGTAGGACACTCTTGCGGGACACTCTTCTGGGACACTCTTGTGCGACACTCTTGTAGGAAACTCTTGTGGGTCACTCTTGTAGGACACTCTTGTGGAGCACTCTTACAGGACACTCTTGTGGGACACTCTTGTGGGACACTCTTGTAGGACACTCTTGTGGGACACTCTTGTAGGACACTCTTGTAGGACACTTCTTGTGGGACACTCTTATAGGACACTCTTGTGGGTCACTCTTATGGGACACTCTTGTCGGACATTCTTGACGGACACTCTTGTAGGACACTCTTGTGAGTCACTCTTACGGGGCACTTTTGTAGGACACTCTTGTGGGACACTCTTAAAGCACACTCTTGCAGGTCACTCTTATGGGACACTCTTGTAGGACACTCTTGTGGGACACTCTTATAGGACACTCTCGTGGGACACTCTTGTGGGACACTCTTGTAGGACACTCTTGTAGGACACTCTTACAGGACACTCTTGTGGGACACTCTTACGGGACACTCTTGTAGGACACTCTTGTGGAACACTCTTATAGGACTCTCTAGTGGGTCACTCTTATGGGACATTCTTGTCGGACACTCTTGTGGGACACTCTTGTGAGACACTCTTGTAGGACACTCTTGTGGGACACTCTTCTGGGACACTCTTGTGGGACACTCTTGTGGGACACTCTTGTAGGACACTCTTGTGGGTCACTCTTGTAGGAAGCTCTTGCGGGGCACTGTCTTGGGACACTCTTGTAGGACACTGTCGCGGGACACTCTTCTGGGACATTCTTGTGGGACACTCTTGTGAGACACTCTTGTAGGAAACTCCTGTGGGTCACTCTGGTAGGACACTCTTGTGGAGCACTCTTACAGGAAACTCTTGTGGGACACTTTTGTAGGACACTCTTGTGGGACACTCTTGTAGGACACTCTTGTGGGTCACTCTCGTAGGGACACTCTTGTGGGACACTCTTACGGGACACTCTTGTAGGACACTCTTGTGGGACACTCTTATAGGACTCTCTTGTGGGTCACACTTATGGGACACTCTTGTCGGACACTCTTGTGAGACACTCTTGTAGGACACTCTTGTAGGACACTCTTGTGGGTCACTTGCCGGACACTCTTGTGGGACACTCTTGCGGGACACTCTTGTAGGACACTCTTGTAGGACACTCTTGCGGGACACACTTGTGGGACACTCTTGTGGGACACTCTTGTAGGAAACTCTTGTGGGACACTCTTGTGGGACACTCTTGTCGGACACTCTTGTGGGTCACTCTTACACGACACTCTTGTAGGACACTTCTTGTGGGACACTCTTATAGGACACTCTTGTGGGTCACTCTTCTGGGACACTCTTGTCGGACATTCTTGTGGGACACTCTTGTGAGACACTCTTGTACGACACTCTTAAGTGTGGGACACTCTTGTAGGAAACTGTTTTGGGATGAAGGAGGTTCACAAAGTGCTGCGCCGGCCACGAAATCTGCACATGGAGGTTCACAAAGTGCTGCGCCTGCCACGAAATCGGCACATGGAGGTTCACAAAGTGCTGTGTCTGCCACGAAATCTGCACATGGAGGTTCACAAAGTGCTGTGCCTGCC